ATAGGAACCATTATCAGTAGGGTGCAAACCCCTCCTACAGGAACCAAGCTAATGGTCCCAAGCTTCAGAGAGAAGTAGTCCATTGTCTCCAGCAACAGAGAGCAGGGCTAGTGCAGCCTGGCAACTGATCGTCCTCAGGGGGGGAAGTGCCTGCGCATCTGACCTCCCTCCACACTTTTTGATTTAGTTTTTTTTTTTTAATTTGATTTAGGTTTTTTAATAGTTTATTTTGGTCTTCTTATTGGTCTTTTTTTTTTAGGGGATGTGGGGTATGTTTTCCAGTATATGAAACCCAGGATAGGTGCATCTATAGAGACAGCAACTGAATTAGTGGTTTATTGGAGGTATAGGAGGAGAGTTTGCAGGGCAATGGGAAGTTAATAATGAGTACAAGAAGGATGAAAATGTTCTAGAATGATTGTAGTAATGACTATACACCTCTTTGTTTATTAAATACTTCTATTGGGGGCTCTTACATCTCTTATCACAATCCATACATTCATCCAGTGTGTCAAGCACATTTGTACATATGCTGCCATCATCATTTTCAAAGCATTCTCTTCCCACTTAAGCTCCTGATATCAGCTCCCCATTTCTGCCCCCTTCTCTCCCTCATGAACCCTTGATAAGTTATAGATGATTATTTTCATATCTTACATCATCCTCTATTGCCCTCATGCACTTTTTTGTTGTTCGTCCCCCTGGGAAGAGGTTATATGTTGATCCTTGTGATTGATTCTCCCTTTCTCCCCCCACCTTCCTCTTATCCTCCTGGTATCTCTATTCTCTTTGTTGGCCCTGAGGGGTTTATCTATCCTGGATTCCTTGTGTTTCAGGCTCTTATCTATAGCAGTGTGCAAGTTCTGGTCTAATCTGATTTGTAAGGTAGAATTGAGGTCACGATACTGGGGTGAAGGAAGCATCAAAGAGCGAGAGGAAAGTTGGGTGTTTCCTCATTGCTACACTGCACCCTGACTGACTCATCTCTTCTTTGCGAACCTTCTGTGAGGGGTTGTCCAATTGTCTACAGATGGGCTTTGGGTCTCCACTCCACATGCCCCCCACATTCACATTGGGTATGATTTTGTTCTGGGTCTTAGATGCCTGATATCTGATCCCATCGACACCTCATGATCACACAGGCTGGTGCATACACCTCTTTTTAATATGACGAACTACAGGAGTATTATATATGAATTACATATCAATAAAAGTACTAAACATTAAAATAGTTAAAATATTGTAGTTTCAGATCACCATTGATCAGGCACCTTCAAAGCAAGAGATCAGAACCCAAATCTGACCCGTCCCTCAGGTCATCAAACAACGTGGATACCTGAAAAAGGGACTGGGAATGAAGAGGGGCAAGAGACGTGAGAAATGGAGGCAAGACAGGAGTCTGATCAAGGCTCGGTTATTGAGCAGGAGGCAGGGGCTTAAATAACCAATGGTGGGTGGGTAACATTACATCGTATGCTAATAAAGTGTAACGGGTAGTATCCAATAATCACGCAGCTACCAAATATGGAAGAAATGGCAGGCATCAGTCCTCAAACAGGTCCGCATGCAAATGAGGTGCACTTGGACAGTCCACATGCAAATGAGGTGCACTTGGATGTCTGGCGGAGGTGTCCAATGAGCATGGCGGCTGCCTGCCACCGAGCACCAATCATCACAAAGGAAAAACTCAGGCAGGACAATAGGCCAGCAACATCCAGGAACAGGAAGTTTAAAGATAGCGGAGGGCGCAGGTCATGGGCTGAGGGACGTGCAGACTCCCACACAAATCCAATGACTGCTAATTCCATCACCTTGGGAGACCAGTCATCTGCTTCTTCTCACACTAGGGAATTTCTGCCTTCAATCCAAGGGAGTATGTCGGTTCCTTAAATCTGCTACAGGTGAGTTTAAGGTAACCAAGGTCACTTAGTAGGGTTTCCACATTGAATCCTTCTGGTGTGGCCTATGATGAAGGATGTTGTATGCCTCGAAAGGACACAGTCTAAAGTCCCAGTAGTCTATAATGCATTGCCTGGGTCACCAAACACTGAATAGAAATTAGGTCAAAGGTGTCCTTTAAGAAATAGTACTGGGCATATTCTCCCCTTGGGTTCTAAGTAAGTATTTTAAAAAGGTTTTCCCCAATTTTGGGGTGGGTGGTTCTCTTCCTGGTTTAACCACTAACAGAAATGTAATCATCACCTTCACCGAGACAAGCATACCTCTCCACATCTTGAATTGAATTTCTAGTAAGTTTTGTTTATAACTCTTATTGGAGTGTTTGTTGATTTGGGGTGAACTTAGCACAATGTTATATGGCAGCAACAGAATGGTCTTCTCCCTCACCCCTCATCTTGAAAAACTGACCCCAGCTGAGGTGAGGTTGCTTTGTCAAAGTGGTTTTTAAGATGTACATAAAAGAGGATGATAGATGGTTCGTAGACATTAGGTAATCTTTCTGCCTCATTTTTTGGGAGAGCGGATTAGAACATTACATGACCTGAAAGCAGAAATCAGCCTTCGTTTTGGTGTTTCTCCTTATGGAAGAAGACACACAATATTTGTCCTTTTGTGATGAACTAACTTCACTCAGCATAATGGTTTCCAGGTCTATCCGTGTCATGAGGTATGTCATCGCCTTTTGTCAGAGATGCATAGTATTCCATTATGTGTATGTACCAGAATTTCTCTATCAATTTTCTACTGTTTGCCATTTGGGTTGTTTCTAACTTCTTGATGCTTTGAATAGTGCTGCAATGAACATGGGAGAGCATATATGTGTTCTTGTTTCTTATTTCTTTGGGCTATATGTCTAGCAAAGGTTTTGCTGTGTCATATGCAGTGGTGGGATTTAGCCAGTTCACACCGGTTTAGCAGAACCAGTGGGCTGATTGTTAAAATGGCACTTATAATCAGGGTTCTTGCTAAGGTGGGCATCACAAATTTACATTCCTTACTCTTATTGAACATTCATCTGTATAACAGCATATTCTAAGGGCCTATAGTAATGTTCATTCGATCCATAGGTACAAAAAAAAGTAGAACTCTGCTTGTGATATTTATTTATTCATTTCATAAAACTCATTATACTTTTGGTGAAATACATTTTTATTCCTTTGTTTTTGTTGCTTCAGTAAACAAACACAGAATGTAAAGAAGAAAAGTGCCAAACAACCAGAGGATGACATGCTGTCATTCATTTCAGCTTTGTGTTTTGTCCCAGCTTCCCACAAGTCATCGAGAGTGAATTAGATCCTGAAAGTGTTTGAAGAGCTAAAACTATTGCTAGAATAATTGCTATAATTTCAGCAGAAGTGGAAAAGGATTTTTCAAAGATGAACATAATATGTTCAGAGAACTCGCCTGTTGTTAATATATTAAACACAGTGAGTACTGTCTAATTGGTTTACCTCTAAAGGAATGGGATCCTACTCCTCCAGTGAAAAGATGGGTAAGGATAAATCACACAGCTGATGATGCTTGGAGAGAAGTGAGGAATATTACAAGTAAGGATGCCAATCAAGAGGCATTATGGCAATATCTTAAATCATAATCAAAAGTATAATTTTGATTAATAATAAATATAAAAATGTATTGTTCTGTCAAGTACTATTTAATATTATTTCATTAAAATATTTTAAACTCATAATCTAGTTTTGTGTACCTCTTATTGTCTTATTTAAGTATTAACTGTATGAAATAATAAACTACCTTTTGGTAGATCACTTTTTTATAGGCAAAATGGTCATTAGGGCAGTGAACTAGTTGTCAAATTATTAGACTCCCACTGGTCATTTGGTATTCTCCATTACTTCTCTGTAGTTTGTTGTACTGTGCTGGCTTGTGTGTTGCTGTTCTATCGGAAGCTATGCCACTGGTCTGAAGCTATGCTGCTCATGTTTCAAATGCCTTCAGGGTCATCTGAAGTGAACAGATTTCAGCTCTGCTTCCACACTAAGAACAGAATACAAAGAAGGATTCAGTTGGCCATTTCAGAGGAAGTAGGTGCTGAACATGTTATACATAGCTTTAAAACATGGTCAGATACTGAAGGCCTACTGAATGGCAGCAGAACATTGTCAGAGGTGGTGCCAGAGGGTGGGCTCCTTGGGTTATAAGACACTCAAAATATGACTGAGGAGGAGCTGTGTAATCAAGGTAGAGTTGACCATGGTAACATGAAAGGAAAAAAGCCTGTGACAGTAAAGTCTTTGGGATATTAATGTGCTGATGGGCCAGAAATCAAAATGAGAAGAAAATATGCAACTATAAATTAATAATCAGAACTTGAAATATAAGCAGTATGAATCTAAGAAAACTGGAAGTCATCAAAAAGAAATGTAGCTCAAAGATTTATATCCTAGGCATTAATGAGGTGAAATGGACTAGTATGGCCATGTTGAAGCAGAAAATCATGAAATTCACGATGCCAGGAATGACACAATGAAGAGGAAGGGGGTTACATTCATCTGCAAAAGAGACATTTCAAGTTCTATCTTGAAATACACAATACTGTCTGTGATAGGATTGCATCTAGACTCGTGAAAGGAAATCCAGCCAATGCATCTATTATGCAAATTTATGCAACAACCATGAAAGCTAATGATGAAGACATTGACAAATTCTATCAATGACTTCAGTTGGAAATTGATCAAACATGCAATCAAGATGCGTTGATAATTATTTAGCTACTGAAATGCAAAAATTGGAAACAAAGAAGAAAGAACAGTAGTTGGAAAATATGGTCTTGGTGATAGAAATAAACCTGGAGATAGCATGATAGTTTTGCAAGATCATTGACTTCTTTATCACAAATACCTTTTTTCAACAGCATAAATGGTGACTATACACATGGACTTCTCCAGATGGAACACACAAAAATCAAATTGAATACAACTCTGTGAAGAGGTGATTGAGAAGCTCAAAATCAGCAACTAAAACCAGACCAGGCGCCCACTGTGGACAGACTAGTAATTGCTCATATGTAAGATCAAGGATTGTAGCCCTTCACTATGGATTACTGTTCAATGTAAAAAGTCCAAAATCTTCACAACTAGACCAATAGTTAACATCATAATAAATGGAGAGAAGGTTAAATTTGTCAAGGATTTTGTCTTGCTTGGCTACACAATCTATGCTCATGGAAGCAGCAGTCAAGAGATCAAAAATCAGGTTGCATTAGGTAAATCTGCTGCACAAGACCTTTTGAGAGACCTGAAAAGTAAGGATGTTACTTTGAGGAATAAGGTGCTCCTGACTACACATCATGGTATTTTCAATTGCCTCAAATACTTGGGAAAGTTGGATATTGACTAAAGATAACTGAAAAAGAATCCATGCATTTTGAATTGTGGTGTTGAAGAAGAATAATGAAAGCATCATGGACTGCTAAAAGGACAAAAGGATCTGTCTTGCAAGAAGCACAGCCATAATGCTCCTTAGAGGGGAGGATAGTGAGACTTAGTTTTCCATATGTAGGACATATTGTCAGGAGAGATCAGTCCCTGGAGAAGGACATCATATTTAGTAAGGTGAAGGGGCAGTGAAAAAGAGGAAGGCGCTCAATGAGATGGATTGACACAGTGGCTGCCACAATGGATTTAGGAATAGGAACAATTGTGGAAATGGCACAAGATTGGACAGTGTTTAGTTATGTTGTGCATAGTTTTTATGGGTCAGAACCAATTGGATGGCACCTAACAACAAAAACAACAAGTTCATGTTGAAGTTGAAGACAATTAAAACAAGTACATGAGAGGTGAAATAAGGACTTGAGTCTAGCCCACCTGAATTTCAAGAATAGATTTAATGATGAGCTCTGGGAGGGCTTCAAGAACATCATTAATCCCACCTTCCTGATACGATCACTGAAGACAAAGGTGTGCAGAAGCAAAGGTGGTGAAGAAAGCTGATGATGCCTGGCTATCAAAAGATATAGCATCTGGGGTCTTAAAGGTTGAAGATAAACAAGCAGCCAACTAGCTCGTAAGCAACAAAGCCCATATAGAAAAAACACACCAGCATGTGTGACCACGAGCTGTCGAAGGGATTGGGTGTCAAGCATCAAGGAACAAGAAATCATGTCATTGTAAAGGTGGGTGAGTGCAGAGTGGAGACTCAGAGTCCATCGGTAGGCAACTAAACACCTCCCTGCTGAGGGGATGTGGGGAGGAGACGAGCTAATCAGGGTGCAGGGTAGCAGCAATGAACCATATAACTTTCCTCTTAAATGCTTCCCCCCCCCCAAAAAAAAATATCATGGTCCCAATTCTGCCCTGCAAATCTGGCTAGACCAGAGGATGTACATTGGTAGAGATGGCAACTTGAAACACAGGGAATCCAGGACGGATGACTCCTTCAGGACCAGTGGGAGAGGGGCGATGCCTGGAGAGTGGGGGGAATGTGGGGTGGAAGAGGGTAACCAATTACAAGAATCTAGGTATGGCCTCCTACCTGGGGGATAGACAGCAGAGAAAAGGGCGGAGGGAGATGTCGGACAGTGTAACTTATGACAAAGCTATAATAATTTATGAATTATGAAGGGTTCATGGGGGAGGGGGGAGGGAGGGGGAAAATGAGCAAATGATATTAAGGACTAAAGTGGAAGGCAGGTGTTTTGAGATTGATGAGGGCAACAAATGTACATATGTGCTTGACACAATGGATGTATGTATGGACTGATGGGAATTGTACGAGCCCTCAATAAAATAATTTTTAAAAAAGAACATCATTAATAAAGAAGGCAAAAAGTAAGGGTGAGGAGGGTGTAGGAGACCTGATAGGGCATGATTAAGGATAACGTAACCTAAAGGAATTACTGAAACCCAAATGAAGGCTGAGCATGATAGTGGGACAAGAGGAAAGTAAAAGGAAATAGAGGAAAGAGCTAGGAGGGAAAGGGCATT